CTCCTTTTGACATGTCCAAACCACTGTCTCTCCTTTTGACATGTCCACACCACTGTCCCTCCTTTTGACATGTCCAAATCACTGTCTCTCCTTTTGACATGTCCAAACCACTGTCTCTCCTTTTGACATGTCCAAACCACAAACCACTATCTCTCCTCTGGACATGTCCACACTATTGTCCCTCCTCTGGACATGTCCACACCACTGTCCCTCCTCTGGACATGTCCAAACCAATGTCCCTCCTCTGGACATGTCCACACCACTGTCCCTCCTCTGGACATGTCCATACCACTGTCCCTTCTCTGGACATGTCCAAACCACTGTCCCTTCTCTGGACATGTCCAAACCACTGTCCCTTCTCTGGACATGTCCAAACCACTGTCTCTTCTCTGGACATGTCCAAACCACTGTCCCTCCTCTGGACATGTCCAAACCACTGTCCCTCCTCTGGACATGTCCAAACCATCTCAGTGTGTCCTCTCTAACTTTATCTCCCAGTTGTTCAACCTGTGCTGTACCTCTGATGATCTCATTCCTGATCTTCTCCATCCTTGTCTCTCCTAAGGAGAACTTCAATATCTTCATTTCTGCCCCTCCCAGTTCTGTCTCCTGTCTTTTTGTCCATGTCTCTGTCTCCAGACCAGACAACATAGCTGGTCTCACCACTGTCTTGTAAACTTTTCCTTTGACCTTTGCTGACACCCTTTTGTCACAAACCACTCCTGAAACTTTTCTCCATCACTCCATCCTGCCTGGACTCTCTTCTTCACCTCTTCACCACACTCCCCATGTTCCTGGACAGTGGACCCCAAGTCCTTGAAGTCCTGCACCTTTGTGACCTCTGCTCCTTGTAGCCTCACTCTTCCACCTCCTCCCTCTCATTCACACACATGGACTCTGTCTTACTACGGCTGACTTTCATTCCTCTTCTTTCAAGTGCATACCTCCACCTCTCCAAGTTCTCTTCCACCTGCTCCCTGTTCTCACCACAGATCATGATGCCATCTGCAAACATCATAGTCCACAGGGATTCCTGCCTGACCTAATCTGTTAGTCGGTCCATCACCAGAGCAAACTAGAAGGGGCTCAGAGCTGATCCTTGATGCACGCCCACCTCAACACAGTCATCATTGCTTCAGAAAAATGTTGAGGACTGTGGGGCTAAAGGCAGTGATGTACAATAAGAGACAACATGAACATTTTAAGGTTCTTCAGAGGCAGTTTCAGAGAAATGAAATCGGCTCCTGATGAGGCAGGAAACATCGAGGCACCTTTGGGTCTCCGAGGATGGCGATGCCCACAGACAGTTTCCTCTTCTGGCCTCCGCTCAGGTTCTTGGCCTGAGCCGTCATGATCTTCTCCAGGTCCAGATCCTTCAGAACCTTGGAGACCTGTTAGGGAAACAGGAGTCACTCTGAAGAGCAGAATGTTGCTTTATGAGAAGATCCACTTTGTTACACCTCAGCTCCACATTTTGACTCTTTGTCTAGACTTTCTGGACTCTTAACTTTCCAAGTTGATTTTTGACATGGTCTCTTTTTTCCTACAGTCGTGGATTTAAGTTTGCTCCAGACTCTAAATAAGACAAAAACAGGTGTAAGATTAAAATATATATTTTTTCAAACTGTGCCTCCATTTGTAGGAAAAGAGATTAATGAAGGCCTGGACTGACGGGCTGTAATCTGCAGCTGTAAACATCTGTGGCTGTGTGTAAATCATGCACGGTGCTTCCACTGTCAGAAACTTGTGGCTCATCATTTATTGTTTTTATAAGAAAATTAAAAACTCGGATGCTGTGATTGACATGTTTAATGTAAGACTTGATGTGGTAGATGAACCTAACATGAACAACACGATGACCTTGTCCGTCGTTTCTACACAATGAATGTAAAACTCTGTTTTTAGAAGATTTATACTGAACACATCAAAGTTCCTGCTCAACGATCCAGGTAAAAAAATCAACAAAGTTCACTCGGGTCCTCTGGACAGTTTCTTTGTGTTGAAACGTTTCGTCTTTCATCCAGAAGACTTCATCAGTCCGAGGAGCCACAACAAACTCAGTCCCATAAGTAGCACGCTCACATAGTGGGCCATGGCTGCCTCAGAGGAGTCGACGGGGGAGAGCGCGGACTCCACAAACCAACCAGCTTATCACCATCAAACTGGTTGGCCCACAATGTGTGATACTTAAAGACCGAGTTTGTTGTGGCTCCTCGGACTGAAGAAGTCTCTTGGATGAGATGAAACGTTCCAGCACAAAGAAACGGTCCAGAGGACCCGACTGAACGTTGTTGGATTTAATGTTTTAGGTTGGTTCAATCGTGGTTAGCACAATCTGAGCAGAGCTCTTTAGTTTGGGCCTCCACCGTCGTGCTTCTGAATCATTTGTTTTTATTCTGGCTCTCGGGGAAGGCGAACGCTCCTTCCCCTTTCTGCTCTTTGTCCTGTGAACCTTCGGTTCTTTGCGTTTCTTTGGACGAGCTGAATGAAGTGAAATTTCGTTGTGCTTCTGTGAAAAGACAATAAAAGTGATTGTGAAAAAGCAAAGTGAACTAATCATCCAGGTTAGACACAGGCGCTCAGGCCTCATGCTTCTCATTAAGTAATGGATGAGAGGAGTGAGTCCTTGCCCGACAACCAGACAACCTAGGTTCAAATCCCACCTCAGTCAGTTCAACATGGAAACATTATGTTCTTCAAAAGAACTCTACATCTTAAAATATTAACATTATTGATCACATTAGTGGGCAACACGATGGATCAGCTGGTAGAGCTGCTGCCTCTCAGTGAGCAGGTTGCCGGTTCAAATCCCGGTCCAAGGTCTTTCTGGGTGGAGTTTGCATGTTCTCTCCGTGCATGTGTGGGTTTCCTCCAGGTACTCCGGTTTCCTCCCACAGACCAAAAACATGCATGTTAGGCTGATGGTAACTCTAATTGTCTCTAGGCGAGAGAGAGAATGGTCGTTTGTCTCGTGTGTCCCTGTGATGGACTGGAGACCTGTCCAGGTGTCCCCCACCTCTCGTACAGTGATGGCTGGACATGGTGAACAGTGACCCCCCGAAACAAACAAACAAACGGACGGACGGATGACATTAGTATGTGTATGCTATATATTCTACCTCAGCATCAATGTCTGCGTGTGAGATCCCTTTGATGGCTGCAAAGATCCTCAGGTGCTCCTCCACGGTGAGAACATCGAAGATGATGTTGAACTGAGGGCAGATCCCCACCAGCTGCTTCATCTCAGACCCCTCTGCGATCTCGGCCACAGGAGAGCCGTAGATGGTGGCCGAGCCGCTGGTGGGTGGACAGATGCCACACAGAATGTTCATGAGAGTGGACTTTCCAGCGCCGCTGTGTCCCAGCAGCGCCGTGATCTGACCCTCGTAGATGTCGAAGGTCAGGCCTGAGAAGAAACGGATGGACGGGGTCGTGAAAACCAGTCAGGGGCGAGCTGCTGCGTCAAAACAAAGGATGAGAAGAAGTCCTGTATGATAAATAAAGTTCTGACCCCTCAGAGCTTCCACCATGTTGTCCTTGTCCTTGTAGACTTTCCGGATGTTGCTGATGCTGCCAGAGAGAAAAAGTCAAAACTTACAAAGCCTTTGGTTCAGTCTCTACAGAGAACTTCTAGAAAACAAACTCCTCATCCAGCCCTCACTTCTTTACCGTTTTGCTGCTAAGCAGCCAAATGTTCCTGTAATCTGCTGAAGTGATGGTGAAGAAAAGATTTCCAGACAATCTGAAGGTCTGTCAGAGCCTGAAGAACCTGCTCAGTTATCTGTCATAAGCTCTGGTTCATCCTCGTTTTCTGTCTGAGGTCAGAGTTAGAAACAGTCCTCTAAAGATGCTCAGGCTCAAGGACTGAAACTACAAAAGACCTCCAGGAAAGGCAGAAATTGTTGCTTCTCTGAGGTAATTGTGTCTTTCCACCCTGGCGTTGTGTTAAAACATCTGTAAGCTCCAGAGGCAGACTGACAAAACTGCTACTTTTCCAGAGGTGGACGTGTCGTTATTATTTACCAGACGAAATGTAAGACCTGATGAAAACAAAGTTACTTTTATTGTGATAGGCCATTATCAATGTTTATTATTTTAAATTCTATTTATAACGATGCGTCATGAAAATAAAGAGCCTCTTGTGACAGGCAGCTGATGAAGTTGTTCATTCTACAGAGACGACAAACAACGCACTTCAAAGAATCAAACGTTCACCCTGAACCACTTTAGGGTTTACCGGATGGCTTCTCTCCCTCTGAACTCGGGGGAAACGGGTTCGACATATTCTTCTCCACCAGGACCGCCGTTCACTTCAGCATCATAAGCTGAGCTCACTTCCACGTAACGCTTCCTGTGTTTGGACCAATAGGACGGCTTCAGGAAGTAGACCAGGGACCTCCTCAGTCCAAAGTCCCCTACATGTCAGACCACATGTTACATTGATTCTGGAACAAACGATATATCCGGAAAACTACCGTTAGTGTTCCTAACTCACCTGGGAGCACCTGGTCCAGGTAGATAGCCAGCAGAAGGTAGAGAACGCAGTCCAGGAACAGCATGAGCAGAGGGACGTACAGAGGATGAGGACCGTTGGTCAAAGAGGAGAACACAGCACCGTCTCCCTGGGCCTCCAGGTAAACCACCTGAAGTAGAAAAAACTCACTATGAACGTCGTGAACAGCACTTACAACAAATACAACTCAAACTCAAACTCTTTTTACGAGGCCGAGCTTGTAGGTTTATTACTAAGAACATGGAAAGTGACAGACACGCAGACAGAAGTGGTCATTTTTAAAGAGCATCCCAAGCAGAACCTTTTGTATAAAATGAACAGATTTCATGAGAATTGTTTTAATTATTTCTGTGCTGCCACCAAACAAAAACAAAACAAGAAAAGAAATAGATTTGACTAAAAGTCTAAAGAAAGTTAAGATGAGTCAGATAGTGTCTTTGTATCCGTTTATAAAAGTCTTACTAAAGCAGATCTCAGGTCAGAGCATCAGAACACGAGTCTGTTAATAAACTAAAGCTCAGCTGCTCTGAACACTTGACTGGATTTGTCCTTTCTTCTATGAAGTCATTTTCTTTGCATTTTTTCTAAATATTCATGAGGGAGAGAGGAGCGCAGCCTCCTCCTCTCAACATTTAAGTCAGTCTGAGGGTGTTGGAGCCTGAACGGCTCCATGCAACATCTGCACGACCGGACTCTGCTTCATCCGAGGACGGCTCTGTGTCTGTGTTTCAGCTGGTGAGTTTAAGTTTGTTAACGTTACTGCAGCTTAACACGTGCATCACGGTGAGTTAAACTAGGATCCATGTAATGCTAACTTTAAGATATTAGTGTGGAGCTTTATATTATGGGTATCTATGTAGTTAGCTAAAATAAAAAACTAACTAAAGATTGACAGTAACAGATGAAGCTTGTAAAAATGTGCTCAGCTGGTTAAACAGTTCACCTGATGTTAATGTTCTCCTCACAGGAGGTTCTGACCCTGATGTGAGGAGGACAGACAAAAGAAAAGTGAGGTGGGGGCCACAGGACAGTCACAAACTTTGTTGTTAAAGTTTTCTGCCTCTTTCTATAGTGGAGGCTGCATGGTGGAGGTAAGTAAACTGTAAAGGATTCTGTTGACCAGTTAAACCAGTATCTCTCAGCCTAGATAATGGTTTTTGATCAATAATAACACAACCATGTTGTTGATGTTTTGTTCTCATGTCAATTAGGGAGATGATCAGAGCCCTAAACCACAGAGAACCACAGAGAAGATTCAGGCAGAGACACAGAGGTGCAGAAGTCTGTATCAACTCTAACCTCAGTGAATCCAGTGACCTGCTGGTGGAATGTGAGGGACAATATGTCAAACTGACAACCAGGTATCTGTGTGTGCAACAATCATCATCCACACCCTCAGAGTGAACATGTTCTACTGCTGGAGACACCGTCAGCCAGGAGCAGCTGGTTTGTGTCCAGAGAAAACAGACATGTTGATGTTTCTGAATAAAAACTGTTCAGTGAAAATATCCTGATGCATGCTCAATAATCCAGGTAGAAAAATCCAAAAAAGTTCAATCTGGTCCTCTGGACATTCAAAAAACAAGAAAACAAAACAAAACAAAAAAAAAGATGTGCTGGGCCATCCTTTTGGCCAGTGGCTGTTTAGTTTCCCCGATGTAAGACTGATCACCCTCCTGACACTGAACAACATACACAACATTGCTCTGTTTGTGCCGAGGGACTGGATCTTTGGGATGAACCAGTCTTTAATGTATTTTGGGGTTTAAAAGCCACTGGGACGTTATGTTTAGAAAATAAACGTCTCAGTTTCTCTGATACTCCCTCAACATATGGAATGACCACTGGTCTGGGTCTGGGTTCCTCCTTTTCACCTGTTGGCTGACTGGAGTCCTGTTTGGGTTTCTTCTCTGCTTTCAGGAAGGCCCAGTTAGGATATCCACATTGCTCTAGAGCCTGTCTTGTGTGGGATTTCTCCTTCTGCCTGGCTCCTGAGCTAGTGGGGATGCTGTCTGCTCTGTGGTACAGAGTCCTGATGACTCCTAACTTGTGCTCCAAAGGGTGATGGGAGTCAAACTGCAAATACTGGTCTGTGTGGGTGGGTTTGTGGTACACCTCGGTGAAAAAATCCTCAGTGTGTAGCAGCGAGCATTAGACACTGACGCGTCACTGGTTTGAAACTGGTCTTTGAACTGGAAACTATTTGTTTATTTATATGTAAGAAAACTGCTTGGAACAGAAATACCAAAGTTAAAAAATAAAACTCACAATTTGTACTGTAATGTGTAACGTCATTTTCTTCATGTTACAATTAATAGTAATTATAAAATTGGTACAGAAAAAAGAACCGTCCAGGAACCGACACCAAAGTGAAGGTACCGACACAGAATTATTTTGAAAGGTACCCAGCCCTAGTCATGAAGGGTGTTTTGGTGTCATGAAGGGTGTTTTGGTGTCATGTGGGGTATTTTGGTGTCATGAGGGGTGTTTTGGTGTCATGTGGGGTATTTTGGTGTCATGTGGGGTATTTTGGTGTCATGTGGGGTATTTTGGTGTCATGTGGGGTATTTTGGTGTCATGTGGGGTATTTTGGTGTCATGTGGGGTATTTTGGTGTCATGTGGGGTATTTGGTGTCATGTGGGGTATTTTGGTGTCGTGGGGTATTTTGGTGTCATGTGGGGTATTTTGGTGACGTGGGGTATTTTGGTGACGTGGGGTATTTTGGTGTCATGTGGGGTATTTTGGTGTCGTGGGGTATTTTGGCGACCTGTGCGATCCCGATGGAGAAGGCGCTGGGGGAGAGCAGGCAGAGGAGCCAGACCAGCGGCTGTGGGAAGTCCTTCATCAGCACGGTGAAGAGCGACATGCAGCCGAACACAACCGTGAGCATGGAGCCCACGGTGCTCGCAAACTTGGGCTTCTTAAACAGCGGGGTCAACATGAAGGAGAAAAAGATCTGAGGATGAGAGGGACGACAAACAGATGAGCTTTATAAGTCCTAAAGTAACAGATTAAAAAATGGAGGGGTTCATTCTTTATATTTTACTCATTTGGGACATTTTTAAATTAAATTCTTAACCGCTGAGTTAAAAACATCTCGTTAGTTCTAGAAATCACAGCAGGTCTGATCTGGTTTAAGACTTTAAGGGAGTTGTAAGATCTACTCACAGATGAGATCCCGTAGAGGAAGATGAGGACAAAGATGACGAAGAAGTCACTGTTGGGGAACAGAGCTGTGAGCGTGGCGATGATGGCCATCAGGAAGGACATGGCGGTCACCAGAGCGGCGTACAGAAGCCCCCAGGACAACCTGCAGGACAACACGTGAACTCATGGATGTCCGGTCCAGACCAGGACTCTTTCACGTCAGAACCATGTTCCTCACCAGAAGGCCGTGTCGTAGAGCCCCATCATGGTCATGGTGTCTTTGAGACGGTGCTCCTTCTCGGCTGCCACGTTGACGATGAGAAAGGTGACAAAGGGCGTGAACGCCAGGACCAGGTAGATGGAGATGAGCGCATGGGGGAACTTGTGCACCTCCACGGAGCCCGGCTGGCCCATCATCACCACATTCAGGTTCAGCTCGCTCCACACCAAGCGTCTGGTCTGCATCTGCTCACCAACATGGACCAGCAAACATCTGAGAACTTCACTCATAAAGAAGAAGGCCAAGGTGCTACAGCTTACAGGTGCGTCTCACCTGGATGATGGCTACGTCGATCAGAGACTGGAGGCGGGTGAAGCCAGATAACCAGTAGTTGGCAGCTCTGCAGTTCACCAAGCTGCTGTAACAGCTGGCTGGAGGAGAGCAAGAGAACATCAGTCAGAATGTTGAGTCTGTAACACTGAGGCTTTTATTGTGAAACATCTGAGAACAGGTGAGTTTTTACCGATGGACTCGGTGTAATCGCTGGGCAGGGGCAGCTTGTTGTAGGGAAAGCGCAGTTTGTACGACGTGGCAGAGCCGTCCATGAACACCACGCCCACGTAGCTGGAGGGCTCGTACAGGCTGGCGTTCTCCAGCTCCTCCTCGCTGGAAAACATGTCCAGATGGTCCAGCATGTCTGCAAAGACCCAAAGGGTTCAGCTCCTCCGGTCCTCCTCACACACAGAGGGGCACCGTGAGCCTCAGACTTACTGATCTCCCGGGCCACCTCCTCCATGATGTGAGTGGTGACGTTTGTGATGGGGGTGTAGCCCAGACCCTTGATGTTCTGGAGGTGGACGTCGCTGTCCAGCTCCACCGTGCTGATGCCCCCATAATAAACGTGGGGATTCAAGGTGCTGATGAGGATCAGGAGAGCCAGGAGCAGCAGAGGGAGGATCAGCTCCTGGAGGAGTAAATCTGGTCACATTTCAAGGTGCTGGGTGGATTCAGGATCCAGCTTCGACTCCTTCAAGTCTAAATCTGGGATTATTCACCACTAAAGCACAACCGCTCGCAGGTTTCTCCAAAAGATTCCCTTTTTAAAAAGTCTTACTTTAGTTGGACGGATTGCTCCTGGACAGGTCAGTTTGAGTTTTTAGGTTATAGAAATTAATTTGACGTTAACGTTTATTAAAGTTACACAACGTCAGTCACAGTGTGAAACAAGTCAGCAGCGAACGAACGAAGACCACGGAGAGGAACGGCAGACCGTTTCAGAGCAGGACAGGAAGTACACGCATCCAGAGAAACGTTTGAACCAAAGCTGGACGACCAAGCGCAGCGAGCGAGCATGTGTCTGTTAGCAAAATATCTCATGAACCACAAGTTTCATTGAAACTCTCAGAATGTAATCTTTGGATATTCAAGATGGCTGCCACAGCTAATAAACCTTGGAAAACACAAAATAAGCACGACTCAGTTTTACTGATGTGGTAGTAGCGGAGAGTCATATCAACATACACTCCGAGGGCTAACAGACCTCTGTTTGTTGCGAGGCGGCGGGTGATATGCATTCCTTCAGGGAATGTTAGGTTAGTGGACTTTATGTGCACAGAATATAACTAACTTTTTACAGCCGGCTCCTTTCTTCACTTTACAGTTAATCCATGCTCCACCGTTTATAAACCAACGACGTTCTACCCAGTGACACACTTTACCATCTAAAGTGTGCAAAGAACTATTTATCAGGGTTTTCTAATGTTTGTGCAAGATAAATAAAATAAAATCCAACAAACACAAAAAATAAACCAAACAACTAAAAAAAGGAAACAGCGCAGCGTAAAGACATGAAGGAGGGACCCGAACTGAATTTAAACTGACGAGTACGTAACAAACGAACAGCGTGTGCAGGAGGACCACGAAGGTAGGACCACGACAAAAACCTCAACGTTCACTTATCCCTCGGCTGATTGAGCAGCTGCCAACTGGACGACGTTCAGTTAAATCAGTCGCTACAGGGCCAAGTCAAATATAAAATCTGTTTTTAACAAGTTTAGAAATGTTCAAGAGAGTCCTCCACATGAGGAGAGACGGAGCGCTAAAAGTTTGAGTGACTGAGCCTGAAGTTATGAGAGATCTTTGGTTAGATGTTCAGCAGAGAAGCAAGGACAGAAACACGTCGGGTCATGATCCAGCCATGATCCTTCGCCTTCACGTTTCCTGATGACGGAGCAGAAGGAAGAGGAGGAGGAGAACCTGCTGCTGCGTACGGAGCAGGAGAACCTGCTGCTGCGTACGGAGCAGGAGGAGGAGGACCTGCTGCTGCGTACGGAGCAGGAGGAGGAGAACCTGCTGCTGCGTACGGAGCAGGAGGAGGAGAACCTGCTGCTGCGTACGGAGCAGGAGGAGGAGAACCTGCTGCTGCGTACGGAGCAGGAGGAGGAGAACCTGCTGCTGCGTACGGAGCAGGAGGAGGAGGACCTGCTGCTGCGTACGGAGCAGGAGGAGAACCTGCTGCTGCGTACG